CATCAATCGTAGGAATTGGAAATCTCTCCCTAACAACTGCTTTGTTCACCTCGCGGAGTTCACAACACACCCTTATCTCTGATGAATTGGGCTTTGGTACACAATGAATGTTAGATACCCGAGGTGTAGCACCATGAACCTGCTCTCTAATGTCATCATCCAACATTCTATCCAATTCTGAATTCACAGCTTCAACCATACAATATGACAAACGACGCAAAGGTTGAGTAACTGGAGGAACAGATTCATCTACCTTGATAGTAAAACCCTTGATCATACCTATACCATCAAACACATCTTCATATTCATCAAACAGATAGTCAATATCAACAGGTGAATGAACAGTGTTAATGCTTATCACACCAAGATCCAAACATGATTTTCTTCCCAGTAATGACACTTCATTACCAGACATAACATAGATTCTGTCAGAAACTCCTTTACCACTATGTCTGAGTGTAGCAACAAAATATCCCAAACAGTTCAATGGTTTTGACTGTCCATATCCTTTGAACGTTTCAGCAGTTCTCGACAAAGGAAAATGTTTGAAACACTTATCATAAGTTGTTGAAGAAATAATGTTGTTCAGTGATCCAGAATCAACATACATGGTTATGTTACATTCATTTACATCAACAGTAGTTGAACAATCTGAGTCAAGATAGTGTACAAACTCTGCATCTTCAGAACATGAATCAGAATCACCATCCTCTACAAAGACTGGATTTAACTTTAGCTTATAACCATGCTGCTTAGATTTATTCTTTCCTCTATCTCTAGACCTGTGTGAAACAGAAACACTAGCCTCAGACCTGTGTGAAACAGAGACACTAGCCTCAGACCTGTGTGAAACAGAAACACTAGCCTCAGACCTGTGTGAAACAGAGACACTAGCCTCAGACCTGTGTGAAACAGAAACACTAGCCTCAGACCTGTGTGAAACAGAGACACTAGCCTCAGACCTGTGTGAAACAGAAACACTAGCCTCAGACCTATGTGAAACAGAGACACTAGCCTCAGACCTGTGTGAAACAGAGACACTAGCCTCAGACCTGTGTGAAACAGAAACACTAGCCTCAGACCTGTGTGAAACAGAAACACTAGCCTCAGACCTGTGTGAAACAGAGACACTAGCCTCAGACCTGTGTGAAACAGAAACACTAGCCTCAGGCTTCTTAGACTTTTACTTTTACACACTCTAGCTAAATGACCTTTCTTTTTACAAGATAGACAAGTTGCACCAATAGATCCACATTCAGAAGGATGATGATCAAAATAACCACATCTATAGCACTGGAATGGTTTAGCAGGCTGCGAAGACACCTTAACCTTATTCACAGTAGTTAAATTTCCGCAAAATGTTTTGGAATTCTCCATAGCCATCTCATATAATCTAGCTATCTTCAAAGTTGACTCCAAAGTCAAATTATCTTGTAATAAAAGTTTCTCTCGCAAATGTTTGGAATAACACTTTTCAACAATCTGATCACGAAGCATTTCATCACTCAAAGTACCAAAATCACATGTTTTAGCAAGTTCACGTAAATCTGTGACATTAACATCAATACTTTCATCAGAACTCTGTGCTCTAGACCTAAATCTGTAACGCTCAGCAACAATGTCCCTCTTTGGAATGAAATAACCCTCCAACATAGTTACAGCTGAAGCATAAGTGTCTTTTTCACCACAACGTGTGAAATATACGTTGACATGGAAGTCCCAAACAATGAAGTAACGTTGCTCTTGTCTCTTTATCTTCTTTTTCATCAACTCCACTGGCTATTTCAAACAATTTGAAAGATTCCATCCACAACTTGAATTCATTACTCAAGTCACTAGCGTTCATGTTCAAAGTTGGTGGCGGTCTAAGACCTGACTCTGCCATTATGACGAAATTCTCCAACACGTCAAACGAAGTTATAAACGTGATAAAGATGATGAGTAGAAGCAAATTCATGATGCTAGACAGTTCTGTAAGTGTTCAACACAAGTAGTAAAGATGATATCATGGGTCGACTGAAAAATCACGTGTGCACGGGAAAACATGGCGGAATGTATCTCTGACTACGGGTCGGCTATATCGAGACTCGAAAAGTTCTGAGTCGATTCAGCAGTTAGTTAGAGTTCGTTTACTAACATGCCTAGTCTCACCCATTGAAATCCTAGAAAACAAACATCCTCGTCGCCAATGTAGTGTTCTGGGCCCTTATTCTCAAAACGTTCGTAGCCCTAAGAATTCTTAACTTTGATCGTAGCCAATGTATTAAGAATGGGCTTAAGAAGTTCGTAGGGCTACGAACATTTCGAGAATAGCTTACCTGGGTCCTTACTTCATGACTTGCTGTTCCTAGGAGGAGAGACGACACAACTAAGTGTTGATGATATGCCTTTTACTTCCCGAGTGCCAGAGCATCCGGTTCGCCACGCACATGCGCAATACATCACATGATGTATTAATATCACTACGCTACAACCGTGTATCCATTACACGAGATATTAAAGCCGTCATATGGCTTGATGGAGGATACTTGAAGCGATATGTGACGGTAAAGCCCGAGTCCTCTTACACAATAAAGCCATATTCAAACTGCAAGATACATCTGGCCTAAATACAGTACTTATGCAATATTTGGGTTTCTTATTTATCAGGTAAATACTTTCTGGGGCTGGGTCTCACCCAGCATTCGAACCCACACGCCAAAAGTACAGGCGGTCAAAAAGTTTATTAAGTGACCGTTGAAACTCTCGTGAAAACGGGTGAAAATACCTCACCTCCAGCATACACAGTCACCGATCTAACCCTCTCAGCAACCGCGGCGTCCACACAAATTGAATGATGGTGAAGATCACGTACTTTGTGTACTTCTCTGACAAGTGTAAACTAGCACGGTTCCAGGACTGAAAGAAGATCACGTACTTTGTGTACTTCTCTGACAAGTGTAAACTAGCACGGTTCCAGGACTGAAAGAAGATCACGTACTTTGTGTACTTCTCTGACAAGTGTTAACTAGCTTTTAACTAGCACGGTTCCAGGACTGAAAGAAGATCACGTACTTTGTGTACTTCTCTGACAAGTGTAAACTAGCACGGTTCCAGGACTGAAAGAAGATCACGTACTTTGTGTACTTCTCTGACAAGTGTTAACTAGCACGGTTCCAGGACTGAAAGAAGATCACGTACTTTGTGTACTTCTCTGACAAGTGTAAACTAGCACGGTTCCAGGACTGAAAGAAGATCACGTACTTTGTGTACTTCTCTCTGACAAGTGTAAACTAGCACGGTTCCAGGACTGAAAGAAGATCACGTACTTTGTGTACTTCTCTGACAAGTGTAAACTAGCACGGTTCCAGGACTGAAAGAAGATCACTTACTTTGTGTACTTCTCTGACAAGTGTTAACTAGCACGGTTCCAGGACTGAAAGAAGATCACGTACTTTGTGTACTTCTCTGACAAGTGTAAACTAGCACGGTTCCAGGATTGAAAGAAGATCACGTACTTTGTGTACTTCTCTGACAAGTGTAAACTAGCACGGTTCCAGGACTGAAAGAAGATCACGTACTTTGTGTACTTCTCTGACAAGTGTAAACTAGCACGGTTCCAGGACTGAAAGAAGATCACGTACTTTGTGTACTTCTCTGACAAGTGTTAACTAGCACGGTTCCAGGACTGAAAGAAGATCACGTACTTTGTGTACTTCTCTGACAAGTGTTAACTAGCACGGTTCCAGGACTGAAAGAAGATCACTTACTTTGTGTACTTCTCTGACAAGTGTAAACTAGCACGGTTCCAGGACTGAAAGAAAATCACGTACTTTGTGTACTTCTCTGACAAGTGTAAACTAGCACGGTTCCAGGACTGAAAGAAGATCACGTACTTTGTGTACTTCTCTGACAAGTGTTAACTAGCACGGTTCCAGGACTGAAAGAAGATCACGTACTTTGTGTACTTCTCTGACAAGTGTAAACTAGCACGGTTCCAGGACTGAAAGAAGATCACGTACTTTGTGTACTTCTGTGACAAGTGTAAACTAGCACGGTTCCAGGACTGAAAGAAGATCACGTACTTTGTGTACTTCTCTGACAAGTGTAAACTAGCACGGTTCCAGGACTGAAAGAAGATCACGTACTGTGTGTACTTCTCTGACAAGTGTAAACTAGCACGGTTCCAGGACTGAAAGCTATGACTTCACATAATTCCATTTAGAACGTGGTCAATCTAATACAAAGAACAATTACAACTTTCTTTGGAACGTTCATCAGGCAAATACAGCCTTAGATTGCAAGCCAACAAATCCATGTCAAGATTTATTTTTATGAAAGTAATGAAATCCTTTATGTTATGGACATTTCTGTCTCTTTTGACCCTATGATTGACAACACTGAGGAGAAACGTGGCAAATATACGGGCCTCCCTTCAAAAGACTATAACTGAATCTTCTCGATGTCGATGTCGCATAAAGTCTTGGAATAGATAAACAAAATGTCGATGTCGCATAAATTCTTGGAATAGATAAACAAAAAGGGTAAATTAACAGACGTCATGTATGGATCTATGGCGCATATTCTGGTTGCTATAGGAAAATGAATATAATCCTAAACGTAGTTTTCGTCATATTACAGAAGTTGACTTCCGAATATTTCTCCTTTTTGAAATATATTTGGAAAGTACTAGGGAGAAATTACTACTAAAAAAAACAGTCATTATGAAAACACGGAAGTCTTACATAAACAAATGCGCATGTATTTGAGTCGTTTACCGTGCATGTCCATACCAGCTTCTACTCGAGATTAATCCTCAGTCCTTACACACATTCTGTCAATCGAGTCTTCTTGTTGAATACTATACGATAAAGTGGTGACATATGAAGAACCAAAATGGTCTTTTCTATTCACGTTTCGGCTTTGGTTGTTGACAAAAGACTAAACCAAAATCGGCACCTGATGCGTATTTTTATATAGATACATGACATCCACAAAAATCATTCACATTTTTCTTTGGACTAAAACCGAACGATGGAGAATAAATGGAGGATGAGCAGGACAAGCCCGATGACGTCCAGACACAAATACTGATACAGCGGCATGTCCTGACAATACGACCTTAGATGGGCGCCGCCATATTTGAGAACATGTTCTATCCAGTAAACAGCTTCATCTTTGGGACTTCTTTCCCGGAGCTTGGTGATTTCGGCAGCTTTCTTGATTTTCCGTGAATACGAAGAATTCTGGATCACCTCATTGATATTGAATACCAAATCATCAACAGTGAACGTGTTCAAATCCATCGCCATACCAAATCCAAAATAACCTAACTTCTTGGCATTATAAGGCTGCTCAGCAAACATTGGAAAACCTATCATGGGAACACCCTGCAAGAATGCCTCGTTCTGACCATTAGCCCCACAGTGGGTTATGAAAAGTCTTGTGTTCGGATGGGCGAGAAGATCCGACTGTGGCATCCAATCCGTTAAAAGGATATCAGGTCCAACATTTACTTGTTTTTCTGACTTAAAAACGAACCTGTATTTAGTTCGCGAAAACGATTCCAGAAGACGGCCAAAGATTTCATCTGGAATTTCTTTTACATTACTCCCAAATGAGACAATAACCACACCGTCCTTGGCTTCATTCAGAAAATTCCGGTATTTGTCTGGGAGCGGTTCCGGTTTCTTTGTGGTTAACGAGCCAATCTTCTTAACGTTTGGCAGAGTAGCACTTGGATAGTCCATAAACGGTTCCTGCTCAATGAGCCAAAGCCATGCTTTAGCTGCCAAAGAATCCATGGAGATGTAAGGCTTGTCCGGGGCATAGGTTGCAACAGGCATGTAATCAGAGAACGGGTCATAAACAAATACATACGTCATCATCATGATTGTATTAATTACACGTGACCTAAAGTCCATGTTAGGCGTCCATTGAGACCGAATGTGTGGTGTGGCAGATGGAATAAAGGGTGTACGGGTGATTTGAGGTTCCAGTGTCGATCCAATAAAGATGAAAGGGATGTCCAGCTTGTAGGCTATGATGGTTAACATTCTAGGTAGCGGGGTTGAATCAAACACAATCAAATCAAACTTTAGGTCTGCAATTCGAGAGAACAACTTCTTGTCTCGTAATATCTTGTCACTTAGTTTTCTAAATTCCTCAGGGAGAAGGGGAGCGGAGTTTTCTTCAAAGTAACCTCTTATTGTCTTTTGGACCATCTCAGTTTCTATGTCATAATCATCTACCGACTCGTATTTGAGGATGTTGACGCCCGGTGCTTGCATGCCCTTGTGATTGGCTAGTTCGGTTGACAAAGCATTCCATATCACGTGACCACGTGAAGCCAGCTCCGTTGCCACATTCAGAGTTCCCCGGATGTGACTGAATGAAGGGAAGAACAGGAAAAGAACCCTGGCGGCCTGGAACCCAGGCAGACATAACAGCAACAGTAGCAGAGCCCCACTTCCGGTATCGAACCTCATCCTGGACAATTGTAGCTATCTGTAAGACAAACAGAACTTGTTAATTCACACTGTTGACCAAATATTACTCGATGCTTCTCCGTTTACTTTCCTTTATAGTTGTACATTTCCCTTTACTTTAACGTGTATGAGGACGTTTACGTTGACAACGTCGACAATAACGTTTTCGTTAACAATGAGGTGTGCATTTCCGATTCGTGCACGTATTCTTCCACCTGCATATTTACGTTAACGGGTACATGTCCGTTTACGGTGATGGAGAATGGATATTTCATTCATGTTTACGAGCAGCGTACATTTGCACTTAGGTGATTTTTACATCATGTTTTCAGTAACGTGTTGAAGGACAACGACTTAACGGTGGGTGTAAATTCTCGCTTTGTACTAGATGACCTGCCCCGAACATATTGACGTTTCACCGACAATTGCTGAGACTGTTTTACTGTTCTACGACTATTTGACTCTCTCTGTGATGTGGAAGAAAAATGAAGAAACGTATCCATTGGTACTTTGCAAATTGTCCACTTTTCAGAAAACTTGATGATTCCTGCAACTCTGATGATTTCAACAGGATCTGAATATTCAGTATATCTGTACATCAGTGTAATGTAGAGTCTATTTGTCTGTGACTTGATCTAATGTAAATTATATTTGCTTATGAGTCAATGTAATGTAAAGTATATTCGTCTTTTAGTTGGCGTACTGTAAAGTCTAAATGGTGTAATGTAAAGTGTCTGTAAATCAGTGTCTCTTTGTCTGTCAGTCAGTGTAATGTAAAGTGGATTTGTCTGTAAGTCATTGTAAAGGCAGTGTCTTCTATACGTCTGAGCAGTATCTTGTCAAAGAGCATATCGCGTCATGAGAAACCTCAATATTCATTTAGCACGCCTTTGTGTGATACTCGATTCTGATTGGCTGAGAGCTCATCAAAATCGTACTTAAATAGCAGTTTAAGACCGCTTATTACAGTGACCGATTCACCGCGTATGAATACATTGAACTCGTTGGCCCTATTGTTTGTAAACAAACATGTCGGACAACGGCGATTTCTACCTCGGCAGCATCTTTGATGTTTTTGAAGTAAAAAAGCAAAAAGTTAGAAAAAGAATTTCTTGACCCTAATCCTAGTGAAGAAACTACGAATCTGGAAAAGTCTCCAGCAGCGCAAAAAGCGGCAGTATTCACAACACACGTCGGCCAACATGCCCTAATCTGTCCGCTTCGGTCCCGGCCGTAATGCCCAGTCCTTCAACGTTCACTGTCCATGTATCCCACATAAAACGTGGCATGTCTTTTCCAAATTGGGAATAGTAGGGTGGTTATCAACAATTACTAAAAATTCCGTGAATTAAGATAGCAGCGATTAAACATAGCGGTTTACGGCTTGAATTGGGACGAGCCGATTGTCATTCAGTAGGGGAGATCAATAATTCGCTTGAGAAAAATCAAGTAATTGTACTTGATCACAGTACAAACTGTATTTTTTAAATTTATGTATGCTACTTGTTACCAATACAAGCATACTGGTTCCTGAAATAAAGCATTTATGTTGTTGAAAATGTCTTATTTTGTTTATTACACAACCTGTCCCTGAACGGGAGGATTCCAAGCGATTTCCAGGAAAAAGGTCCCTTCACGCCTTGTGTTCTTGCGCGCAAAACAGTTCGGTTTTAAAACGCTTATCAATCGTGCTAGAAAGAAGATAAAGCTACTCTATTTTCAATTTTACGGTCCTTTATAGTTGATTTTAGACCGCTAAATGTTTAATGTAAAACCTCACGCTATAGCTTTCGGTGTTTCAATTACATTTAGTGGTCTTGAATCAACGTTAAGGACCGCAAAACTGAAAACAGCGTAGCTATATCTTCTAAATGTAATGTAAAGTATATTCGTCTATTAATCGGTGTAATGTAAAGTCTAAATGGTGTAATGTAAAGTGTCTGTAAATCAGTGCAGTGTAAAGTCTATTTGTCTGTGTTGTGTAAAGTGGCTGTAAGTTAGTGTAAAGTAAAGTCTCTTTGTAAGTCAGTGTAATGTAAAGCTTAAGCCTGAGCTAGTACAAGCAGCCACATATACATACGCATACACGTCGTCATATGAACGAAATATTATTACGTGCGACGTTAAACCCCATTTGACCTCACCTCACCTCACCTCACCTCACCTCACCTCAGTCCTAATCCAGTATATAATCCAGCCTTTAATCAGTACTATTCGCACTTATTATAAAAGCTCCGTGTTCTCTTCTAAAACCAAACTAAAACATATCCTGAGAATCGGGGTAAGGCTGTGTCTTCTATAAGTTTGAGCAGTAAGTTGTCAAAGAGCATATCGATTCATGAAACATCTCAGTAGTTTCGATGATAGAGATAATTACATTCTGCTCCGTGTGCATTTGGCTGGAGGAGAGTGTAAAGTCTATTTGTCTGTAAGTCAGTGTAAAGTTTGGAATAACCTTTATCCAGACACAATGACCTACCTGAAGTCCTCGACCGTGTCCAGTACAAGGTTGAGATTCCTAAAGATGACCGTGATGAATCGCCCAAGCCCGGAACTTTGTTCTAGATAATTGTGTGATTGCCTTGATTTCCTCCTCTCGTATTATGGCTGGCTCCGATACTGAATAATACTGTTCTGCCCTTCACCCAAACTGCGAGGCCAACGTGTATTGCGTGAACAGCTAGCGCCCCCTCGGTCTATCTCACCGCAGCAGATGTACATGAGCGTCCAATGTATACTGTGTTACTGGGTTATCAATACTTGCAGGGCCTTAACCATGGGACGCGTAGTGTAAACGCTATGACACGTATTTCAAAAGTTTGTGTTTGTAATTACACGAAAAAAATATAAATCAAATCATGTGGCACGTTATGACCGGTCCGTTGTGGTGTAAGTTGATTAAACAATGGTGTTTCCTCGTGTCGGGTATATGTGTAGCATGTATACATATCATAAGTGAGATAGCGTGTAGAGAGCTCCTCCTGTGGTGAACAGGCGCTGTGTCAACACTGACTACGATAACGACTTCAACATACCGTATGTACTCTTATGACATTGACAAGGGGTAGGGGAAGGAGGTACCCTACTCGGTAGCAACCGGGTAGTCACGAATTCTATCCTCTGTGGATACACTTCAGACACTCGCTGTCTAGTGCAGTGGAATTAATGTAATTTATACATACAAGCCGTGGGAAGAGCATAAACATGTACCCGAAAGTGTGAAGGAAATCCTGCAGATGGTCACGTACAGCTGCAGCAGTGCTATAGGCGATATCAAACACGGTGCCATCATGTCATCCATGTACGTGTATGAGTTTAGTTTTGGCGTCTGGCCGGAACATGAATCAGTTGGCTTTCTGCTCAGGACCAGAGTCGTCAATGTAAGTAAGTAATGTACATGATGTTATGAATTTCCATTATCAAGAGACATGGCGGCCTTCCCCAGTCCTTCTATTACCATCTTCGCTACACCTGTGGTTGGAACTTCGAGGTCCATCCAGGGATGTAGTGGACGTTAGAGCAAATGTCAATTCCAAATTCTCAGGAACTGACCAAAATACACCTTAGAATCAAAGCCGACCATTTTCTTTCGGGAGATAAAAGTAATGTCATTATTTATGTCATGAACATTTCTGTCCCTTTTGATGCAACTGGCAAGATTCATGAGAAGTGATACACAAAAAGGGTAAATTCATGGATGCCATGGATATATCTATTGTGCATGTTCTTATTGATTCAGGAAAATGAACAAAATCCTAAACGTAGTTTTCGTCCTATTACAGAAGATGACTTCCGAATATTTCCCCTTTTTGAAATAGATTTGGAAATCATTAAGTAGAAACTAATCCAAACCAGAAAAGGTCATCAGCAAAACACGGAAATCTTATGTAAACAAGAGCAGGTATGAGCATCTGGATCGCTAGCCGTGTATATCCCTACCGACAACAACAACTCACCCAACACCGTTGTGAAATGGGTGTACTTTAAACTGTCAAAATGTCGATCTCTATTTTTGCGCTGTGTTTAAATGACCATATGTAGCCATCACAGATAGAAATACTCGAGATTATTATCATAAAAGTACCTCAATCCTTTTATACATTTCAATTGGAATTTTGGCACATCCATCGATAGGGCAGAGTCTTCACGCAGGTTACGGAAAGAATACAGTGGTGACGAGTGAAAAACCAATATGGTCGTCTTTTCTATTCACGTTTCGGCTTTGGTTGTTGACGACCTGTGTTCTAGATCATTGTGATTTGCATGAATACTCTCGTCTTGTATCACGGCTGGCTCCAACACTGATCAGTAGTACTGTTCTGCCCTTCACCCAAACTGTGAGGCCTACGTGAACTGTGTGAGCAGCTAGCGCCCACTCAGTCTAGCTCACTCTAACAGGTGCACCTGAGACACCAATGCATACTGTATTAGTGGGTCATGAATACTTAAATTATATGTTGGATCTTAACCATAGGATCCTTTCATCCTGAACATTTTAAAACTTTACAGTTCTTGAATAATAGTTAGTTTCTTCCTACCTGGGTGTCCCGTCTTTTGTGCCTACGGTCCTAAGTATAACCTTTGATAGTGGGTTTGAAGTCACTATACGGGATCACCAGTGAAGATAAGAGTTTGTCAAGAGTTGTTTTACCTGCAGCATCGGGCTCTGTGTTACCTGTTATGCCTACTCGACCCGTTAACCAGCAGAGGACGATGTCACATTGGCCAGTAGAAAGGTCGTTGTAAAGTTCTAAAATGTCCAGAATGATTGGGTGATTTGAAGTGACATTTTGAAGTGCTTGAAGGCAAGAAAATGAATCTGTGAAAACGATGAAGTTTTTGGAATGATTCTTCTGTTTAATATAGGTCAAAGCTGAATAGATAGCTTTGGCCTCGGCAGTGAAAATGGAACTGTTGTCGGGAATCCTAGAGGAGACAGTCTTCGATCCAATGACTGTAGCACTGGCAACTTGGCCCTCACCATTGGATCCGTCTGTGAAAATGGATGTATGGGTGTCATACTTGGAACGTAACTGGTTGTATTCCTGCTGGAACACCAAAGGACTTGTTTCAGACTTTTTTGAGTTTAGTGAGGGTAAGATCGACCTGTGGTTTCACTATCTGCCAGGGTGGTGAAGACAGGAGTCGGTAAGGTGCTATGATATTGAGATCAATTTTAGCTGCAGATATGTGTGGTTGAATTCTGATTCCAAGTTGTTCAAGGGAAGGTTCTTTAGCCTCTGCATATAGACTGTCTACCGGAGAGGTCCTAACAGCTCCCAGGCAGAGCCTCAGGCCTTGGTGGAGGATAGAATCTATTTTTTCTAAATTGCTTTTGCAGGCTCCACCATAAACAATGGAGCTATAGTCTAGTTTAGAGCGAACCAAAGATCTGTACAAGTGACGGAGGGTAGTCTGATTCCATGAGAACTATGATGACTTAGGTGCCTGCTTCTGTGTGTGTCATATATATTGTTTCTCAAACATATCCTGAATAAATTAAAAGCAGTGTCTAAAGACATACCAGCTAAGAAAAGAAGAGTAATTCAGCTTTTGCATTGGTGGTCCAAAAATAAACAGTCTTATATAACTTAAATAACCTGTGTGAGAACTGGTCAAGTATTTCTGAGTTGGAATAAGACAATTTCACTTTTCATTTCCTTCTTGGAAAAGTTAATGAAATGTTTGGAAACTGTTATAACAGATACAAATTTGCCGTAATTAGACATAATGGATTTGACATTCTGGTGATCAGCAGACTTGGTGACACTAAGAATATTTTCTTTTATTCAGTGAACAGAACCACTGAAACATTACTACCCATAGTACTTGTCCATGTTGAACTTGGCACTCAGATCATAACTGACGAATTCAAATCATATATTTGCTTAAAGAGAAATGGTTATGAGCACCAAGCAGTTTGCCACAAAAACAATTATGTAGATCCTCATACTGGGGCTCACACCAATACCATTGAAGGGTTTTGGGGTAAAGTTTACATCTATGCATGGCGTATCCAAAGAGCAGCTTGGTGTGCATCTTGATGAACTTATGTTCAGTTGGAAAAACAAGAATGAGTGCATGTTTTCCATCATGACAGGTCTCTTTAGGAAATACCACCCCTTTGCCCAGTTTTTCTGCTTGGTGTTCAAAACTTTACAGAAACAGTATCCACTTGTTGGTAAATACTTCCAGGTCTCTGCTGTAAAATTATTTCCATCACAGTTTTAATTAACTGTTGTGTATTTACCATTCTTTCTGAGTGGCATACAATTCCATGTCCCTCAACATGATTCAAGCGATGAACTTGCATACAGACACACGTAATAAACTTAACCTGATAAAGTGTGGAATTGGTACGATGTGTTCTTGTTGAGGAACAAATTATAGTTTCATTTCCCTCAGCATGATTTAAGTGCAAGCCTGCATATGGATACACTTAATAAAATCAACCTGATGATGTGTCTAAGGATTTCAACAAGTGCAAATACATTCTTGGTCATTGTGGGGAAATAAAAATTGTTTTAGTTGAATTTCATGCAGTTTGGGTTATATTATAAACACAAAATGGCATTTACAGAATACCATGATAAAAATAGCAATACAAGACAAATCTTATGGATAACAACTTCTTGGTTTATTTTTCACAACGTTTCTGGGCTAGTTCTTGCCCCTCCCCACAATGACCAAGAATGTCACAACGTTTCTGGGCTAGTTCAGGCCCTTCTTCAGGTAAGAAGGGGCAAGAACTAGCCCAGAAACGTTGTGAAAAATAAACCAAGAAGTTGTTATCCGCAAGATTTGTCTTGTATTACTACACCAACTTCTAAATGCCTTTGAAACGTAGCAAGTTTGTAAAATGTGGGCCCACTTTCTGTTCTTTGTTACACTGGACCATAATAAATGGGCCCACATTTTCAATGACACCAGTTATTCAGAATACTATACTGAACATCATTGAAAACGCACCAGTCTAAACTTGTCCATATTTTCATCAAGATGGATTTCAGCATGACAATGATCAATGAATATAACTAACATGAAGTCGAAGGGCATGTCCAGTTGAAAAAATGCTTTACAAACATATTCCTGTCCACAGTATGACACTTAATTCAAAAATGCATTAACATTCTGAAATGCCTGTAACATTAAAGCGCGAGAATTTCATTCTGAAATCATACTGACTGTAACATTAAAAGCAAGTGTATGAGAACCGATGCCGAGGTTAACATCTCACGAATACAAAGAGAACGTCCACAAGGCATGATTCAGGTTGGCACCAGCAGCAGGGATATTGCTCGACAACTTGGACATGGCCACTCCACCATCGTTAGGCTTCATAGACGACATCAGTAGACAGGCAGCAACAATGGTATGGTGTGGTAGTCACTGACGAGTCACATCTTCATCTACGTTATGCTGACGGACGATTACGTGTTTGGCGTAGACGTGGTGAACGTTATGCTGATGACTGTGTGGTTCAGACAGACCTTTGGACGGTGGGAGTGTCATGGGTCTGGGGTGGAATAAATTACAATCACAGGACTGCCTTCATGTCTGTCAAGGGAGAGTTAATGTCCTTTATTACCGTGAGCAGATTCTTCAGAATCACATCGTATCTGTCTTCAATCACCACCAAGATGTCCATACTTTTCAACAGGACAACGCACGGGCACACACAACAAGACTTTCCATGCAGTATCTGGCCCAGCAACACATCCAGGTTATTCATTGGCCAGCACAGTCGCCAGATGTATCCCCCCATGGAGCACTTGTGGGACGAAATTGGTCAAAGTCTTTCGCGACAACAGATACGAATCATCAGGGAACTTGAGGCTGCACTACTGCAGAAGTGGAATGCCAGCCTCAAGAACTCTATTCGGACGCTTATTGACTCAATGAGGAGACGTTGAACTGCATGTGTCAATGCAAATGGCGGTCACACGCGATATTGACTTTTCGATTTGACCCCACGTGTGTTTGATCCTTTCTGACTGTGGAACATTTCAATGAATGAGCGTCTTTTCTGTGTTGTTGTTTTTGTCAGTCGTCCATCTGTTATTATCCACTCAAAAAAATATCAATTCCTTACACGTGCTTTTAATAATCTGAACTTTTTTAAGTGGTGCGTTTTCAATGATGTTCAGTATATTTATGATAAAAGAAATTACAAATAAAATGGTGAGTTTCTAAAATGTGGGCCCACTTATTTTCGGCTCCTGTCAGGTGCTGAAATGTGGGCCCACATTTTGGAATGACATTATTGCCACTGCATGCACGTGGTTCAACAATATATATGGATGGAAATAATGATGCTACAAAATACTTTCCGATACATTAACTTTTACAATATCTCATGTCACAGGTATTACTTCGTTCGGTAAGTTCAAACTTATCGTGCTGGCACAAGTGGAGCGCTTAACTCCTAATGCGGGAAACATGCTCAGAGTTACTTCCCTTCATCCAGTCATAATAATGTATCGCCGAATTATGTATTTAAAAAAACCTCATTTGAATACCGATGCGACAAAACTTCAGCTCAACTCAACTTAACCATGGGACGGGTACTGTAAATGCTATGGCACGTATTTCAAACGGTTGTGTTTTAAATTACACGAAAACAAATCAATGTATTCATACGTCAAGTTATGACCAGTCACTTATGGAGTTGATTAAACCATGGAGTTTCCTCGTGCCCTGTATATGTGTAGCTGCATATAGACTGAGACTGGTTTATTCAAAACTGCAGGCCATTTGACCTAAGGTACAATTACACCAGAACATATTATTTTGTCACGTGAATTTGATATAATGAACAAAACTAATAATTAAGAACCGCGTGCATTAAATACATGCTTCAAATATAGCGACAGTAATTTGAGTGTTTGTGGATTTTGTGAATAAATAAGTTTGATGAAGTTACATTTGTTTGATACAACAGAGGTTAACCAAGGTAAATATTTCAATCGGATTGCAGAATATTTTGGACAGGAAAATAGTATGTGAACTTCATCTTCGATGTAGAGATCCATGTAATGTTCACAGCAGATGGTATAGTCGTACTGTTGTTTCTTCTTCCTGTATGCATTTACCTTCAGATTGTTCAATGCTATTCCAAATTTACAGAATGCACGTAACAACGACTTGTCTTGGTGACAAGTAACATATGTTTCTGTTTTAAAGCCTAAACCCAGAGTAGAATGGCAGATAACTTGAGGTAGAAATTGACAAATGCCAATCCTGGATAAAGATATCCTGTATATCTTTGTTTGAAAGTGTTGATAAGTAGCTTCTCGTTACCAACTTGTTGTGATCCATGCGAAAATCCAAATCCATGCGAAACCTGTTGAAAAGAATTACATCTTCCATTACCATCTGGAGGTTTGAGAAGAAGATAGCTCTGTCTTGGATATCTAAAGGAGTCCTATCGTAGTAGTTTCAACCAGTATTTGATTACTCTCATTCACAATACTGCAGCGACCTGTTTCACCCAATATTGCTTTGTTTGATGCAAATTTCCCAACAGATATTAATCGTTTAAGGAATGAGGTATGGGTCTTTTCAATTGATTCATTGTATAGTGTTCCCATATCTCGGAGCCATGAAGAAGGATGAGTACAATTTTCCAGTCGAAGATAGTCAATGCTGTGGAGAACGTCATTGCCAGATTATGTTTAAACAGCTGGTACACTGGCGTCAATGCTGTCGATGCCTGCGATGCCAAATTGCTACATGGAGCTGACCACTTTAGCTTAGATGAGAATAGTAGACCAAGATACTTGTAGTATGTTGTACGCTTCAGTTGTTCACCTCCTCCGTATAATACGAAAAACGATTATGCTTGATTTATTGACACAGAGTCCCCAATCCTTCTGCAATCCTGTAACCGCGTAAGAGAACATGTTGACGTCATCAGCAAATAACAAATCTAAAATGTTCTGTGAAACAAAGGCTCCGTGTTTTGCAGGTCTGGTAAATTTCAGTGGCTAATTCGTTGATGAAAAGAGTAAATACAAGAGGACTTAGCATACATTCTTCGCGGACTCCAGAACTTGTCAAGAAGGAATCAGCTTTCCCGTTGTGAACCTTTACAGATGCTTTGACTGAAATATACATGTTAGCCAATACGTGATATATTTTACCATGCCATCCATGACTTAAAAGCGAGTAAAGCACTTTGTTCCTATCTACCAGATCAAATGCTTTTCTTTAAATCGATAAAAGCGCAGTAGAAACGACCCCCTTTTTTACAAAGGTATTTTGAACATAGTACTTGAAGGGTGAAAATATTATTAACTGTATCCGGGTCGAAAACCAGTTTGAGCTTCAAGGAGAATCTCATTTGAATCAGTCCATGTTCGTAATCTGCTTTCCAGCACAGATGTGAATACTTTTTCAGCCACATTAAGCAGCGAAATTCCTCTATAGCTATTGGGGTCAAGAGCAGATCCAGTCTTGAATATTGGCAATATCAGTCCTACATTACACGCATCTGAAACAGTTCTGTATCTAAGATTTTATTGAAAAGTGCATTCAGAAATGCTAAAAGTGACGTTTGATGTTTAGCTCATAAGTAAGATACAACGCGGAGAGCTCCTCTGTGGTGAGCCGGCTTTGTGTCAACACTGACTACGATAGCGACTTCAACATACCGTCTATACTCTTATGACATTGGCAAGAGGCAAGGGGTAGGGGAAGGAGGTACCCTACTCCGTTTGGACCGGATAGTCATGAGTTCTGTCCACGGTGGATAGACTTCAGACATTCGCTGTCTAGTGGTGTACTTGCTTCAAATGCAGTCTACGGCATTTGAATTAATGTCGTTTATACATACAAGAGCATAAATATATACCCGAAACTGTGAAGGAAATCCCGCTAATGGTCACGTGCAGCAGCAGTAGCAATGCATTGGCGATATCAAACACGGTGCATCATGCCATGTACGCGAGTGAGTGGGTTCAGTTTTATGCCGCCATTATGAAATATTCCAGTAATATCACGGAGGGCTGAACACATTGAACCCATATGGGGATTTAATCCCGGGTTTTCGGCGTGACGAACGAACGCTTTAACCACTAGGCCACCCCACTGCCCCATGTGAAGAATCTAGCCCCGATCTCTGGCGTGACGGACGAACGCTTTAACCACTAGGCTGTTAGTATGTGAAAAGCTGAATTCCTCCAGTATTTCATCTATGTTGAATTTAAACGCAGAGTGAATGAGTGAGTGAGTTAATTGAGTTTTACGACGCACTCAGCAATATTCAAGTTATATGGCGGCTGTCTGTAAATAATCGAGCCTGGACCAGACAATCCAGGGCTCAACAGCATTATCATCGATCCACGCAATTGAGATACGATGACATGTGTCTACCAAGTCAGCGAGCCTGACCATCTGATCCCTTTAGTTGCCTCTTACGACAAGCATGGGTTACTGAAGAACAATCCTAACCCGAATTTTCACGGGTCTTTAAAAAACACAGAACATGAAGTAGGCATCTACACCTGCATCAGCTGAGCTCCTCATCTTGATTAATTTTTCTTTATGCCACTATTTATCTAATTCCAGATTGAGAGTTTTCTATTTGGAAAAGAGTTAGTATCTTGATATTGCTTTTGTATATCCATATTTTCCCACGTTAAGCGCATTGGTTTCAAATATAAAATAAAATTCACTCACTGACGACAGAACTTTTTTAATAGATCAGTACGTGATCTACACAGACATGTTTTGTCTTGACTAATTTCTTGTTTCGTAACAGAATCAGGAGAGAACCAGTTAAAACTACATTCATTTGTGTCCGGCTTTTTCTAAAACACATTTTACAGTTGGTGTATATAATAAAGCAAGTGCTAAGTAAATCATTCAAATTTAATTCAAATTATTCACGTTTTTGTTTTGGCCGATTACAGGCTTTCCTCAAGCAATAGCTGCACGACTTCCATAGGAGGAAAACACACACATGGAGGATGAGCAGGACAAGCCCGATGACGTCCAGACACAAATACTGATACAACGGCATGTCCTGACAATACGACCTCAGATGGGCGCCGCCATATTTGAGCACATGTTCTATCCAATAAACAGCTTCATCTTTGGGGCTTCTTTCCCGGAGCTTGGTGATTTCGGCAGCTTTCTTGATTTTCTGTGAGTAGGAAGAATTCTGGATCACCTCATTGATGTTGGATACCAGGTCATCCACAGTAAAAGATGCCAAATTCATCGCGATGCCAAATCCAAGGTATTCCAACTTCCTTGCATTTGAAGGCTGCTCAGCAAACATCGGGAATCCAATCATCGGAACTCCATGCAAGAAAGCCTCGCTTTGACCACTGGCTCCACAATGTGTGATGAACAGTTTAGTGTTTGGGTGAGCGAGTAAATCCGACTGTGGCATCCAGTCTGTTAAGAGAACATTCGGTCCTACACTGACAGTCTCACCAGTCTTGAAAACGAACCTGTATTGGGTACGTGAAAATGCGTCGACAAGTTGTTTGGCGACACCATTAGGAAAATGGTTAATGTTGCTTCCAAAGGAGACGATGACTACACCGTCCTTGGCTTCATCCATGAATTTCTTGTATTTCTCTGGAAGAGGATTTACCTTGCTTGCTGACAGAGATCCGACGAGCTTCACATTGGGCAACGTGGCTCTTGGGTAATCAGCCAATGGCTCCTGTGAAATCAGCCAGAGGGAACCCTTAGCAACAAGTGACTCCATGGTAATATCGGGCTTCTCTGGTGCGTAGGTAGCCACAGCTCCAAAATAGGTGAAAGGGTTATAGATATGCCAACCCAGCATAAATATTACATTGAGAAATCTTACCCGGAAGTTCATGTCCGGAGTCCATGGGAAGATGGGAAACGGTGTGCTTGAGGGGTTGAAAGGTGTACGACTGGACTGAGGATCGGACACTGCTCCAAGAAATACGAAAGGTACATCTAACTTATAAGCTAAGATGGTTAACATCCTCGGCAAAGGCGTAGAATCAAATATGATCAAATCAAACTTCATTTCTCTAAGATTTCCTAAAAGCTGATGGTCCCTTAGTATCAAGTCACATGTTTTCTTACTTGCATCGAAAATAATGGACATGTCTTTAGATTCGGTATATCTTTGCAGCTCCTCGTCAATGTTGTAGTTGTCCAGTGACTTGTAATGTAAGGTGCTGACTCCGGGCGCCTGGAGATCTGTGCGCTTGGTCAGTTTTGATGGGAGAGCATTCCATACCATGTGACCACGCTCCGCCAAATCCCTGGCAACCACCAGAGGTCCATTGATGTGGCTGTATGATGGAAACATGAACAACAGAATCTTGGCGGCCTCGAGTCCGGGAAGACAAAGCAGCAGCCAAACATATGATGACGTCATACCGGATGTGGAAGTAGAACTGCAAAAAAACATATATTACTGCTTATATTTCAGAGGACGGACCTGATACAATGGGTGTAATTGTGCAAGTGTTCAGTCTTGGTGGGTATCAAATACAATGTGTAGATTACGTGTGAAATCTGAAAACATTTTTACCCATGTTGCGGAAATATTGTTTTCAGACTTCGTGAGGTAAGATCGACATCGTATTTGACAAAAAGCGTAAAAAGTGTATTTCCTATATAAAGTTTTATGCCAAAAAGACTCCTTTTCAATAAGTCGTCGTATTCAAATTATTATCAACAGCATGAGCCGCAAATAGTTATTTGTAAAAAACTTTACCAATAAAACATGCATAATTATGTGTTTAACTCTCAATATTGATATTCCATTTTTGAAAGAAACCTTGAAACCTATTTAATGAATATTTACAGCTGACGTGGTGCGCCAATGGAAACGCTCATTAATACATGTAGTTAACACAGCGGCAATCATTGTAAAGATAAGTGGCCCGCTTCGTGGGATGTTTGTTGAACAAGCGTCAAACACGAACACCATGACAGGATGATGTCAGTGTTTTGTAGCAGATATTTGAAGGACGCGTTTCTGGTATCGCTGCTATGAATGCTCAATGCCTTACAAAAGCCTGCTGGCTACCCGGGCTTTAGCGTATACTTGCTCGGCATACTGTACCACAGCCATCATTGACAATCTTTCTTACAATATTTGTGTGTGCACTGTGAACAGACAAAACACTGTGAACAGACAACACACTGTGAACAACATATCTCAATGTAAATTTCTTGAGTTGTCGGCACTAACCTGTACTCAAAAGTCAGCTCACTCACTCACTCTTTCACTCACTCACTCACTCACACACACACTCACTCACTCACTCTTGGATACATAGCCCCGTGAGGGAGGGTCGTTATCGATGTAACGCTCCCCCTGTGTCGGATATTGAGGCATATGATTACAATCCTCATATAATGATATTACATTAGGATCTTCAAGATATTAATTGGCTTAAGTTCACCTGAAACCCTGTGTATACTTTAGAATCAACATGAATGCAGCATATTTTTTCCTGTACTCACCGAATCTTGTCACACTGGCCAGCTACCCACAATTCTGTCCAAAGGTCATGACCCCCAGCGTGTGTACACTAACGGTCACGTGACCTGTGGTAATTCATGCTCGCATTCAACGTACTGGTCGGGTTGGTATCTATACTCGAGACCTGGATTGTAGATCCCTGTGTGAAGAATGCTTTAGGGGGACTCTCAGTGTGTCAATGACTGGGTGTATACATACATGCTTTCAATCAGTATTTACGCACATGAAAGCTCCGTGTTCTTTTCTAAAACCGAACTGTAACATATCAGAAATACCAGGGTTAAACCTTGGCAGTTTGTCTTCTAAAACCGAACTGTAACATATCAGAAATACCGGGGTTAAACCTTGGCAGTTTGTCTTCTAAAACCGAACTGTAACATATCAGAAATACCGGGGTTAAACCTTGGCAGTTTGTCTTCTAAAACCGAACTGTAACATATCAGAAATACCAGGGTTAAACCTTGGCAGTTTGTCTTCTATGCGTCTGAGCAGTATCTTTTCAAAAAGCTTATCAACTTGATTATGTGGCAGTGTTGTATATGTAAATATTTGTATTTTACATATTTGTATATAGTCAATGTTGTAATGAAATAATGTACTAATGTTTACTGTGAAGTACAGAATAAAATAAACTTGCTTTCTATTTAGCTCCTGGTTGACTTGTCTTTAATTCACCTTTAATATCATTTAACTGCCTTTGGGTAGCTGTGGGGTAAGATTGCATAGCTTGGGTCACTCCTTTGTTTAAGACCGCTCCCGCCTGATTGGCCTTGTTTAAAATACTAACGTTGAGCACTTCACCAGCACAGCACACAAGCCACTGTAGACTGAGGCTGACCAGACATTACTACAGGTAAGTAATGTATTTTGTATTTTACAATTATGTACTTTTATATAGTGCTTAATCAGTTATAGTAAAATCATGTTTTAATATTACCTATATAATCAATATAGTAGGGGTGTCACGATACACCAATCTCACGATACGATACGTATCACGATTTTAAGGTCACGATACGATACGTATCGCGATACATAATTTTCATAGCATTACCTTACCGGCAACGTACGCGCTCACTGATTGGTCCATCAAAATAGTCTAGCCAATCACAAAAGCTGTTAGTTTCCAACCTATTTTTTAAGTAAAGCTAGCTACATCTATTTATCGGAGCGGTCTCGTATAATTTTACTATCAAGACTTTGAAGGAGATGGATATAGCATAAAAATTTGAATCGATAAAGTTTTAAAATAGGAATCGATACACGCAAGCATGTATCGCGTATCGTATCGTCAGTAAAATGTATCGATGCATTGATACATTCGCGTATTGCGACACCCCTACAATATAGGTTTAACCAAAAAATGTAATTTAACAGTAAGTCTATAAACATTTAATTCCCAGATATATAATAGTTATATGGTCTCTGATTCCTAAACATCAGCTTTTCACTTTCCTATTTCTGTCCTTGAGAATGAGTGAGCGAGTATACACTTTTATCATTTATGCGTTTGTCTATAACTATGTATGTATGTTTTGAAGTGTTCATGGGTATGGTGTGGGTCATACATGGTATGTTACCCAGTCTTTCAATAGTATTTATATTTGTATATGTATTTAGATTTAGATGCAGTTGATATAATCAACTGGTGCAGTCAGTTCGCGCCCCAGTACTAACCACAGGGTACGTTTATAACTATTTTTGTGTATTTATAAAAAACTAGTCATATCATATGTATACATAGCCAGTGTAGTTTACCCTTGAATATATTTGATAAATGTATTAGTTGACTGCATTAAACCACGTCATCCGTTAGATTAAATGTGTGAATATATATGAGTATAAATATGAATTGTGATTATGATTGTGATTGTTATTGTAATGTACCCTTACATACGCATGTGTGTCTATATCTATGTGCTTATTGTTATGTATATGTTTCAGGGCGTTTGTTCTGACTTATACTTCTCCAATAAATCCTTGAAACTCAAACCCGACCTGTGTGTCATGATTGAACACCCCGGTTACAATTACAGTGAAAATCCTTTGATGTTTCGCACAGGTAGACATATGTTGTTTTAATGGATAAGTGAGGTGGGTTATACTAAAAACTGAACCGCATAACGAAATCGGGGTTCATTTACATGCTATCAACTCACTGCTTATCTATTGCCATTGATTGATATCAACTCACTAGCTATTAATTGATTTTAACTCACTAATTATTGGTTGACTCACTAATTTTTATAGGTATATATTATGGGTATTCTATGTATTTTGAATACATTTAATTTATTGCTTTTTATATATATCCTGGTATGTGATCTTAAAAAAAGTAACTTTCTATGAGAATAATGACAGTCAATGTATATATAGGATCAGGGATGAGATTATCTGTACCATGTTGGGGGTTTGCCTAAATCTGAGAAATATTTACACAGAATCTACAAATATCTGAATCTGTAGAACAACTTTCATCTGTAGATTAGTGTATTTTGTCCACCCGCCCTTATTGTTTTCTGTTTATGAAAATAAGTTACGCTGACCTCTCCATACCCCTCGGGGTACTTTATGGTGTCTCTATATAGTTTATAAGAGACGGTGACGACCTGCGACACTTGAATCGACCTTTATTCCTCTATCAGTGACGTCCATTATGTGTTTTTCTCTTTCACAAAAACTAATGATTCATTACATGCCGTTTCAATATCCCGAGTAGTGATATTGGGTGATGGTTCCCTATACTGTGGCATGTGAAACCCATCATAAGTGGCTTGACGATTAGTATCATTAAACAGTTATCCAACTAATGGTATTCAATATGAACATGCAACATTTGCTTATCAAATTGTTGTAATATGATACATAAACATTTGGTGTTTACTCAGTATGAAACTATACACAGGATGTGTACGAACATTTTCAACCTTTTTGCTTATTTAATATAAACATAAACACACCTTATATGGTTTAAACATATTTATTTCATGAAAAAGCAAAGACAGAATTTTCACGAACTGGATTGGTCAACAAGCTCGAAAGAACTTATATGAAGACCGCTCCAACCGTGGTTGTTTAAGAATAAGTCATTAGTGTCAAGATTATTGATATCAGAAATCATACCATTAACGTCCATATGTTGATAATCATATATTTTACGTTTAAATGTATCACACTTAGGGTCTAACAGATTTGATATCAACATATATCGGACAATGGTCACTGCAAATAGGGTCTAACACCCCGCGATCCTGCACATTTTGCATAGAGGATATAAATATGAGATCAATTAAAGTACTGGATTGCTTACGACATCATTGGGTGATTCGAGTTGGTTTGTCAATAATTTGGGTTAGTCCGTGTAAGGATTCCAATAATTGAACTTTACGATTGCTTTCATTTAAAATATCTACATTAAAATCGCCAGTAATAACGGTAAATAAGTTAAGATCAACAGCGTTTCCAATTGACTGATCAATTAGTTCCCAGTACGCAATGCTCCGGTCTCTGTAGAAGGTACTTATGAGGTAGGTACGGTGTTTACATTTAACATGAACCCATGCGGCTTCAAGTCCAGCAATGTCTAGTTGGTGCATATGCTCCGCATACAAATTGTCTTTAACATATATTGCCACACCGCCCCTCGCCCCCCGCGACTCCCTCGATCTTTGCGGAATGGAGGTTGAAATCCCGGTATAAGAATATCATCGTTCGGAATGTCTTTGTGCAACCACGTTTCAGTTATGCAAATTATATCAAAAGAATTAAATTCAGCTTCTATAACATCTAATTTGTCTTTGAGACTGCAAACATTTAGGTGGACTATCTTTAAAGTATTTAGTACTGGCCCAGGGTTAGGATGTACGTCTCCACAACAGAGTATTAGAAGAGATGCGATAATACTAACAGATTTGCTGAAAACGCAAAGATGTCGGGATAGAAAAGTGAAAATATTTAGTTTACAAGCTGCATATGAGTGCAGCCCGACTGCAAATGTCCCACTGCCTGTCTGTACTGACTGATGTCAACCGGCATCTATACATTCAAACATTCTATTGTAGGCAGCGGGTAGATGCACAGTCAAAGCCATCATGTACGTGTTTTAAATACAATTACAAAATGTCATTTCTTTCCACATATAGGTTTGCAAATATATATCAGAGTCAACTGGGGAGAGCATCCAATAAAGTCAAAGAAGATGTTTTACAAAAAGTAGAGAAAAAAATAGAAAGTACATGTAAAAAAATATCATAATAATAACAGTGTTGAGAGAGGAATGAAAAGTCCACACCATCATTTCCGCGTGTATTCGCTGATGTAATGCACTCATATGCAGCTTGTAAACTAAATATTTTCACTTTTCTATCCCGACATCTTTGCGTTTTCAGCAAATCTGTTAGTATTATCGCATCTCTTCTAATGTGAGTCTTAGTGCAACTAGACAAATAACCAACTTCGTAGTTCCCAATATAAAATTGTTTTATCAGCTTGTACTTATCCTTATATTTATCAAACATGGACATGTTTACAGGTTGTGTTCATTCAACATGGACATGTTTACAGGTTGTTTTATTCAACATTGACATGTTTACAGGTTGTGTTTATTCAACATGGACATGTTTACATTTTGTGTCTATTCAACATGGACATGTTTACATTTTGTGTCTATTCAACATGGACATGTTTACATTTTGTGTCTATTCAACATGGACATGATTACATTTTGTGTCTATTCAACATGGACATGTTTACATTTTGTGTTTATTCAACATGGACATGTTTACATTTTGTGTTTATTCAACTTGAACATGTTTACATTTTGTGTCTATTCAACATGCATGCATCCACAGCTTGGCCCGATGATTTTGTTACCTCCCTTTGCTGGCTCCGCATTCTCACAGTAGCCAATCAGCTAAGCCGCCATTACATCCGAGCTTGCCAGTGTCAACAAAGATAGCGGTCGCAGTCGCGAAGGTTTGTTCGCAGTACCACTCAGATTTTTGGAGAAATAATACAGACAAATTGACAGATCTGAAACTTTCAAAAAATATATAAAAGAACTCCTTCCACATCTTTCAGAGTACACTCTGCATCAATTGTGTTGCCAAGTTTAAACGGTTAGATAATTTAAGAAGCGTTAAGTGAGTTGTGATTGGTTCGCTCAACTTCCCAGCGTAGGCACCTGACTGGATAGAAAGGCAGCCAAGGGAGATAATAAAATCATCGGGCCAAGCCGTGGATGCATCCAGGGTATAGTGGAGAGTGATCGTAACGTATACCCTGGAGATTATCGAGGATGTATCATTGTAGGCTCCACAAACTCAGGGCGTTGTTCCACTTCCTTATTCAGGCGCATTACAGTTACAACTCATATTTACAATGCAACTACTCTGTAATGCGGTTCAAAACTGTGTAACCCTATGCCTGAACGACAGCTTGTTTTTCTGTCTCGGCGGACCTCTCTCACAAATGCACGTGGCTCCCATCGCCACGCCTGGCTGTCACATGACTCATACCTTCCATCTAAATATAGCTTACCGCTGTCAACCAGATGCTATGACTGGCACTTACAATGATGTTTCTTCTCATTATATATCCATAGTTAAATGTGTTCAACATTAGGATTGTTTTGATTGATCGGTCGGCTTCCGTGTGCGATGTGTTCACTTTCATCAACCACCAGCCTTGTAATAACACGTCACAGCAGATTACCTATGTGCTAAAATATCACCCAAACTTCCAAGCGTCATTTCTGGTGTTCCCCGCCGTGATGTTGCTGAAATATTGCTAAAAGCGGCGTAAAACCAAATTCAGTCAGTCAGTCAGTCAAAGCGTACCGTTTGTCGACGCCCTGATCCTTAAATTTTTTTTAAAGGCACAATGTCACCCATTTTCGACAATATTTTTGGCCTATATTATAGAATATGAATATAATGCTTTCACTACAATCTTCCGAGTTGTTTACAGTGCCATTCTCAACCTCTTGAAGCGTCCTACTATCACGCACCCAGGATCGCACACTTGGTGACACCCAAGATCGCACACCAGATCGCACATGAGATCGGCACGTGCCTTATTAACAGTGAAATCGATCTCTGTTGTGAAAGTACTGCATTCTTTCGTCCTTTTGAGAATGGATGACATTTTTGGCTTCTTTTTGAAACCTAAAATCAATGAACGATTATCAAAATATTTCAGTCAAATATCTCCGTTCTTTGTTTCCAGATTTATTCAAACAGTTTATTTATTAAGACTGACTGAGTTTAGTTTTACGCCGCTTTTAGCAATATTCCAGCAATATCAGGGCGGGGGACACCAGAAATGGGCTTATCACATTGTGCCCATATTGGGAATCAAACCCGGGTCTTCGGCGTGACGAGCCAACGCTTTAACCACTAGGCTACCCCACCGCCCCTTATTCCTGAAGATAAATAGCATGTATATGGCTTTCCGTCTTTGTTCCCCATTATGCTCGAGTGGCATGATTATTTCTGTTTTTATCTTAATCATTATATGTGGTTTATTGCTGGTTTCTTTAGGTATTTATGTAAACTGACGTCCATAAAAGAACACATTTGGTCTTCTGGGATCTGTTTCAAGAACAACAACAACCAGGTAAATATTTGGAAAAGTGTTTTGATTGTGACCTTCACGTCACACACCAGATATCTTACACATAATTCCATTTATAACACATGAACAACCATGTCAACTACCTTGCAAAATGAATAATGAAATAGAACATTACTATTCAAAATACGCTCTTTTCTTAGGAATACAAAGTAATAAGCTCATATGTCATCGAAAAAAACACATGTGATAAACGCAGAGAAATTTTGGCCACTTTGACATCATCTACGAAGTCAAACGACAAATGTATTCATTTTTCACAACAATCTTGCCATTCTGGCACTAGACAGCGTTGTTTTGTTATTTTATTCTTTTTAACGTGTCTATAGGTAAGACTGTATATGACCCGTTACATCATTGTATCATATAACACACTGAATGTTGACTCGGGCCTTTCTTGAATGTTTCCATGAACAACGGAGCTACTTCAAATAAGAACGATAACCCTATTTCCATTTAATTCCAATAGTAATACACAATACAGAAGCAATACGAATGATTTATTGAGCATCTTTTGGAAGATCAAGTCTACACCTGTCTTGAGATGCAAGTTCGCAATAAGCTCCAGAATGTCCGAATCGAAGACAAACCCTTGGCTGTGTAAAAATCTCGCTCGGAACTAAATGTTTGGGACAACAATGCCACAACCAGTTTTGCTGTGCCAGCACTTTCCTGTTCCTTTAGAATAGTTGATTGGTTAAAGCAAGACATCTAGATTCTTGACACCCTGACAAGAAGGATAATGTCTGACAACAGAGCCCACCGCCCTCGTTCCCCTCTTAATCATTTGATAAATGTGGAGGCTCTTCAAGATAGAATTTTATTGTGTAATTTTGCACATATTTATTATTCTGATTTCCACAGCTACTTAAGGGCGCCAAGGTTATTGGATGGAATATCAAACTTTAGGTGTGGATGGTTGCTTGAAAGTACAGAGGTGGCTGTAAACCAGGTGAAGTCATCCCCCATGTGTAGCTGTATGTATATCATAAATCCCCCAGATATATCTACTTCTGCATTGGGATTTTCTTTTCTTTCAGTATTATATCTGTGTTGAATCTAGGTGGAAATAAAGAACATGAACAGACATCGACATCTGCATCAGCTGAGCTCTTCATCTTCATTATGTTATTTACGCTATCATTTATCAACTTCAGCATTACGAATTTTCTTTTTGGAAAAATAATTAGCATCTTCATATTGCTTTTCTTTGTGCATAATTTGCATGATATGGGTTTGACTTTGTGGGGTGGCAGTGGGGTAGTCTAGTTGTTGAGTTCTCTCGACACACCTTAGGCCCGTATTCGATTCCTAATGTTAGCGCATTGGTGGTGCCCCCTACCCTGAATACTGCTAATAGTGGCATAAAACAAAACTAACTCACTGACAAAAAAATCTTTCTTTTAGATCAGTCCGTGTTAAAAATAGGAAAGTCATGTTTTGTCTTGACTGATTTCTTGTTTCGTAATAGAATCAGAAGGAGAGAAACATTAAAAACTACATTCATTTTTGATCGGCATTTTTCTTAATAAGAACACATTTTGCATTTATATTATTCACGTTTTTTGTTTTGGCCGATTACTGGCTTTCCTCCGGCAATTACTGCACAACTTCCATATAAGGAGAATACACTATGCTTAAATGACCATAGAACTCATATTTATAAATACTCGATATTATTGTAATCAAAGTCCTCAATTCTTATACACACTCTGATTGGTATTTTGACACATCCACCGCTAGGGAGCGAGACTTCTTGATTATGGAAAGGATAAAGTAGTGCCAAATGAAGAACCAAACTGTTCTTTTCTAGTCACGTTTCGGCCTTGCTGGTTGACGACCTCGGCACCTGCTGCACATATACATACATGACACCCACAAAAAAGAATAAACCAAAATGGAGAATAAACAGGACAAGCCCGATGACGTCCAGACACAAATACTGATACAACGGCATGTCCTGACAATACGACCTCAGATGGGCGCCGCCATATTTGAGAACATGTTCTATCCAGTAAACAGCTTCATCTTTGGGACTTCTTTCCCGGAGCTTAGTGATTTCGGCAGCTTTCTTGATTTTCTGTGAGTAGGAAGAATTCTGAATCACCTCATTGATGTTGGATACTAAATCATCAACAGAAAACGTGTTCAAATCCATTTCCATACCGAATCCAAAGTACCCTAACTTCTTGGCATTATAAGGCTGCTCAGCAAACATTGGAAAACCAATCATGGGAACACCCTGCAAGAGAGCCTCGTTCTGACCATTAGCCCCACAGTGGGTTATGAAAAGTTTTGTGTTCGGATGGGAGAGAAGATCCGCCTGCGGCATCCAATCGGTTAAAAGGATGTCAGGTCCAACATTTACTTGTTTTTCTGACTTAAAAACGAACCTAAATTTGGTTCGAGAAAAGGATTCCACTAGTCGGCCAAAGATTTCATCTGGAATTCCTTTTACATTACTTCCAAATGAGACAATAACCACACCGTCTTTGGCTTCATTCATAAATTTCCGGTATTTGTCTGGGAGAGGTTCCGGTTTCTTTGTGGTTAACGAGCCAATCATCTTGACGTTTGGCAGAGTAGCGCTTGGATAGTCCATAAACGGTTCCTGCTCAATGAGCCAAAGCCATGCTTTAGCTGTCAAAGATGCCATGGAGATGTAAGGCTTGTCCGCGGCATAGGTTGCAACCGGCATGTAATCAGAGAACGGGTCATAAACAAATACATACGTCATCATCATGATTGTATTAATTACACGTGACCCAAAGTCCATTTTAGGTGTCAATGGATACAGTAAGTGTGGTGTGGCAGATGGAATGAAGGGTGTACGCGTGATTTGAGCTTCCAGTGTCGCCCCAATAAAGATGAAGGGGATGTCCAGCTTGTAGGCTATGATGGTCAACATTCTCGGTAGCGGGGTTAAATCAAACACAATCAAATCAAACTTTAGGTCTGCAATTCGAGAGAACAACTTCTTGTCTCGTAATATCTTGTCACCAACTTTTCTAAATTCCTCAGGTAGAAGGGGTGCAGAGTTTTCCTCAAAGTAACCTCTTATGATCTTCTGGGTCATCTCCTCTTCCATATCATAATCATCTACCGACTCGTATTTGAGGATTTTGACACCCGGTGCTTGCATGGCCGTGTGATTGGCCAGTTCAGTTGACAAAGCATTCCATACCACGTGACCACGTGAAGCTAGCTCAGTGGCCACATTCAGGGATCCCCGGATGTGGCTGTATAAAGGGAAGTACAAGAAGAGAATCCTTGCGGCCTGGAACCCAGGCAGACCTAACAACAACAGCAGCAGAGCCCAACTTCCGATATCGAACCTCATCCTGGACAATTGTAGCTCTCTGTAAGACAAATGGAACTTGTTAGTTCACACTGTTGACCAAATATTACTCGATGCGTCTCCGTTTATATTCCCTTATAGTTGTACATTTTATTTTAAAGGCAGGGGTTCAAACCTATACACAGATGGGGTGTGGCCTCCTGCCTTGCCAAAGCTGTCTTTCATTGCACAGCAATGCAGTATTCAAGTATATTCCATGAAATATCACAAAACTGACTTACCGGTTCTTGATGAAATTAAGCCATAGTGTAAACAAGTATGTTATGAAGACGCACTTTAAAAAGTGTTGATGCAGACAGTGTACAAAACCTGCATTTTAAAATATATAATCACCTTTGTAAATCCAGATTTGAATTTGCCACTGTATCAGTCAGGAGGCCAGAGGAGGTGCATCTCCATAGAAACAGACCTCTGAGTGGAATTTAAAGCTTCATTCAGGGTTTCATATTTCACTTTCTTCCCAGGCAGTCAGTGAAACTGATGCCCTGCTCCACTGCCCTGACCCCAAAGCTGTGCGGGTTGTTTACTGATTTGACTCTTGACACTGAATGGATCACTTGATCCTTGTTTTTATTATATACACATCAAGTTGGCAAATTTAATTATCTTCTATAGTAAACCTTTGATGTCCTGAATTCTTTAAAATAACATAAGATTCTCTAAAATGCAGTAATAATACATGTATAACATTCTGTACTTTTCAAAACCCGCACCCCTAAAGCTTCAAATGAACCTTGCTTAGTTTTTAAAAAAACCGTTTTCGTTAACAATGAGGTGTGCATTTCCGTTTCGTGCACGTTTGCTTCTAGCTGTATGTTTACGTTAACGGGTACATATACGTTTACGTTGATGGAGAATGGATATTTTTTTCATGTTTACGATGAGTGTACATTTGAACTAAGGTGATTTTATTCAGGTGTACATTGTAATTTCATTAACGTGGTTTTATGTCAGACATGTGGAAGATGCATCAGTGGCAAAAATGATGTACGATGCAATTCCCTATTTTGACTTATACCATACGTTCCCGAGTTATTTCAGGTGAACAAATGACAAGACTGACGGATTTCTGACGGGTGCCACCGTTGGGGGCAGGATCCGCCCACCTTTTCGGGAACACCTGGTGTCATGCCTATTTCATAGTGATTCATTAACATATGCTCTGTCATGGTATCGCAAGGTGAGAATCACTGGATTGTCTTGTTGAGACCCGATTTGTTTACAAACAACATCATACAGCTGTAATACAGCTGTCACAGATATCTGCTCATGATAAAGTCACAACTGTACAATCGACTCTGCTTTTGGCAGAGATTACTTATGAATGTGGAAAGGGTTTTGTCGCTTCTATTTACATGAACCAAGTCGATTTGTCTGCTTGTGGATATTTTGTCACCGAGACATATCACTAACATATGGTTTAGTTTGCAGTCCTCGGGCGGTCCTTCGGGGTATCCTGAAATCTACACATGTTCAACATGAAGCCAGCTTCTATTTTAAGAACTGAGATTGATTTACAAACAGTAAACAATGTTCGGTAAATTTGGACGACATTCTTCTTTCGAATTCATCTTCATGCAGTATTTCTTCATGTGAAAGAAAAACCTGTCCTTTTTTTATAACGGATCGTGAATTCAAATCGGACTTTACAGCCAAAACATACTGCACAAAATCATTTGTCCAACCCCCCCGTCATATATGGCATTGAATGTACACATTGCGGATTGATTTATGTTGGGGAAACACAACAAAACCTATGGACACGAGTCAAGCAGCATAGATCAGTCATCAATAGACATGTTTACATTTGCATCTACCAGTATTCGAATTCTGAAAACAACTCCATCCTGTGTATGAAAATAAGGATATTAGAAAAAGTATACCACCATTCTAATAGCCGTAAATGCTGTGCGGAATACAGAATGTCAAGAGAAAATCATTGGATTCGACTACTATGTAAAGCAATGCCATATGGATGTTATGACAAAATACAAGAGGTTGGCAGTCATGGCAGCTCACCATGTAACTTCCACCTCATGTGGCTGCCACGACGCAAGGTTTTGCTACCAACCTGCAAGTCATGTAATCACAGGTGACTTCTCCATTGTTGACAATAGCAACATTTGACAACTATTTAAATACAGACCTAAATATCGTGAACAGCTTCCTACCAATTGGAATTACTTTAAAATCATTATGGCTGCTGTCGAAGCATATGCCAAAAAATTGGCCAAAAGAGAAGAAAAACCTGTTTATTTGTCTTTAAATCAGTGTAATGTGAAACCGTTTTGTAAGTCAGTGTAATGTAAAGTATCTTGTAAGTCAGTGTAATGTAAAGTATCTTTGTAAGTCAGTGTAATGTAAAGTATCTTTGTAAGTCAGCGTAATGTAAAGTATCTTTGTAGGTCAGCGTAATGTAAAGTCTCTTTGTAAGTCAGTGTAATGTAAAGTATCTTTGTAGGTCACTGTAATGTAAAGTATCTTTGTAAGTCAGTATCTTTGTGTAATCTTTGTAGGTAGTGTAATGTAAAGCATCTTTGTAGTCAGTAATGTCAGTTTAATGTAAAGTATCTTTGTAAGTCAGCGTAATGTAAAGTATCTTTGTAAGTGTAATGTAAAGTATCTTTGTAGTCAGTGTAATGTAAAGTATCTTTGTAGGTCAGTGTAATGTAAAGTATCTTTGTAAGTCAGTGTAATGTAAAGTCTCTTTGTAAGTCAGTGTAATGTAAAGTATCTTTGTAGGTCAGTGTAATGTAAAGTATCTTTGTAGGTCAGTGTAATGTAAAGTATCTTTGTAAGTCAGTGTAATGTAAAGTATCTTTGTAGGTCAGTGTAATGTAAAGTATCTTTGTAAGTCAGTGTAATGTAAAGTATCTTTGTAGGTCAGTGTAATGTAAAGTATCTTTGTAGGTCAGTGTAATGTAAAGCATATCTTTGTAAGTGTGTAATGTAAAAGTCAAGTCAGTGTAATGTAAAGTATCTTTGTAGGTAATGTAAAGTCAAAGGTCAGTAATGTAATGTAAAGTGTAGTATCTTTGTAGGTCAGTGTAATGTAAAGTATCTTTGTAGGTCAGTGTAATGTAAAGTATCTTTGTAGGTCAGTGTAATGTAAAGTATCTTTGTAGGTCAGTGTAATGTAAAGTATCTTTGTAAGTCAGTGTAATGTAAAGTATCTTTGTAGGTCAGTGTAATGTAAAGTATCTTTGTAGGTCAGTGTAATGTAAAGTATCTTTGTAGGTCAGTGTAATGTAAAAAGTATCTTTGTAAGTGTAATGTAAAAGTATCTTTGTAGTGTAATGTAAAGTATCTTTGTAGGTCAGGTCAGTGTAATGTAAAGTATCTTTGTAAGTCAGTGTAATGTAAAGTATCTTTGTAAGTCAGTGTAATGTAAAGTATCTTTGTAGGTCAGTGTAATGTAAAGTATCTTTGTAAGTCAGTGTAATGTAAAGTATCTTTGTAAGTCAGCGTAATGTAAAGTATCTTTGTAAGTCAGTGTAATGTAAAGTAATGTTTTTGTCTATATGTAAAGTATCTTTGTAAGTCAGTGTAATGTAAAGTATCTTTGTTAGTCTCTTTGCTCTTTGTAAGATTGCAGTGTTTTGCCTGTAAGACAGTGTAAAGTTTCTTTCTCTGGAATAGTCCGTATCAGGGCACAATGACCTACCCTGAAATCCTCTATCGTGTCCAGTTCTAGGTTGAGATGCCTGAAGATGATTCTGATGAGTTCTAGATAATGGTGTGATTTGCCTAAATTTCCTCGTCTCGTATTATGGCTGGCTCCGACGCTGAGTAATGCTGTTATGCCCTTCACCTAAACGTGTTTTGTGTGAACAGCTAGCGCCCCCTCAGTCTATCTCACTGTAATAGGTACACGTGAGAGTCTAATGCATCCTGTATCAGTGGGTCATCAATACCTATCTTATATGCAGGACCTCAACCATGGGACGCGTAGTGTAAATGCTAGGGCACGTATTTCAAACGTTTGTGTTTGAAATTAGGCTGAAAAAAATCAACTGATTCTTGTGTCATGTGGTGAGCCGGCTCTGTGTCAACACCGACAACGATAGCGACTGTTCGTCTCTGTATTGACTCCTATGACACTTTCAAAGAACAAGGGGTAGGGGAAGGGGGTACCTTACTCCGTAGGGGCCGGGTCGTTATGAGTTCTGTCCTTGTGAATACACTTCGGACAAAGGCTGTCTGGCTGTGTACTTGCGCCAAATGCAGCCTAAAGCATGGGAAATAATGTATTTAATACATACAAGCCGAGGGAACAGCATAAATATGTATCCGAAACTGTGAAGGAAATCCCACAGATGGTCACGTGCAGCAGCAGTAAAGCATTGACGATATCAAAGACGGTGCATCAAGCCATGTACGTGAGTGAGTGAGTTCAGTTTTACGTCGCTTTTAGCAACATTCCAGCAGTATCACAGCGAGCGACACCAGATATGAGTTTCATACATTGTACCCATGTGGAGAATCTAGCCCCTATCTCTGGCGTGACGAACGAACGCTTTTACCACTAGGCCACCCCACTGCCCCATGTGATGAATCTAGCCCCGATCTCTGGCGTGACGAACGAACGCTTTAACCACTAGGCCACCCCACTGCCCCATGTGGAGAATCTTGCCCCGATCTCTGGCGTGACGAACGAACGTTTTAACCACTATGCCCCATGGAGAATCTAGCCCCTATCTCTGGCGTGACGAACGAACGCTTTTACCACTAGGCCACCCCACTGCCCCATGTGATGTAGGTA